TTCTTCTATAAATAAAATCAGAAAGATAAAGTAAAAATAGCATTAAAATAATTTGGTGAATTTGGAGAATATTAATTTTCAAGCAACAATTTATAGCACATGGAATAGACGATCACATGAATTGTAAATATCGACATCGCGATAAGCATAAAATGAAGAGTGAAACCGCTGAAGCATGTATCGTAATTTCAATGAATTTAGATTTCGATATAAAATTAATGCCAATATATTTAGTATACTCTGCATGTTTATTATACTCTGCTATTAATTTATTCAGTTCAATGCAAATGCGATATGAATATTTCGAGTGTAATTAACAATGTAATAAATATTCACTGAAATGATATCAGTTTCGTCCGTCGATGGCAAGTCGTAGTAATTTCCTTCTTTCATCATTGTAGGGATGAACCAAGATGCGAAGCGAAATTTGGATCAGATCGGCGGTGGGCATCTCGTGAGAGACACCGACAGGCAATTCGAAGGTTTATTAAACGGGGAAGAGAGTCGTTTGGCTCAATATTTAAATTCCGCCAGTGACAAGCAAATACTCGACACACTCCGCCGAGGACTTTTTGCCGATCGATTCCGTAATGGAAATCTCATTAATTCTTCGATTAACTCTGCAGCGTTCGTCGATCCGATAAGTCGTCCGTACAATCCCGATTTAAGTGCCGGTCAACTGAGCGACCAGTTATTTATGAATCAGTTTCGCGACGCTCCGAGCAACGCGCAGGAGGGTGATAGGCGAATCGTTAGAAATCTAGATCAGATCGGCGGTGGGCATCTCGTGAGGAATTTAGATCAAATCGGTGGCGGGCATTTGGTAAGAAATCTGAATCAGTTAGGTAATGAGCAGTTGATCAGAAATTTAGATCAGATCGGCGGCGGACATCTGGTAAGGGACTTACATCAAATCGGCGACGGAAAGATCTGGTTAGACGGCGATCTGGTTAGAAGCATCGACTATCCAAATGCAGAGACGAAACGGCGGCGCATTGATCAGCCGACGAGTATCTCGGAGAAGCTGCATTTCACGCGAAATCTGGATCAGATCGGAGGGGGAAATCTCGTGAGAAACTTAGATCAGATTGGAGGAGGAAATCTTGTGCGAAACTTGGACCAGATCGGCGG